TGTGGGCGCCGGGCGTCGGCTCCGGTGACCTGCTTGAGACGCAGCTGGTCCTCTCGAGCGAGCCGGTCGTGTATGAAGGTGACCAGTTGAGCATGGGAATCACAGTGGACGAGATTGTCGTCAGCCTTCCCGACTCCAGAATCCTTGACACCCTCGGTGAGTCGTGTCATTTCGCCCAACTCCGCTTTTGATATTGTTGTCTACCTCTGGCCCGGTCTCTTCTTCTCAAGTATTGATTGTCTCTTTTTGGTCTCCAGGGCCCTTGTGACAGATGTGCAATTGCATCCACACCTTCTGGACATGAGGGCGTCTGAGGCAAATGAGGGAGAGCAAATTGATGCTTTCCTGTTTGCTCACCCTCACGCTACTCCCTTATGGCAAGATTGATGGGCCAACACAACCCAACATAATGAGACTTATAGGCCAATTTTCCTTTTACGAGGAACAAGAAGGTCGACTCTACAATGCGCAACAAAGGATGTTTTGTCTTTGTCAAGACACTTTGGGAAAAACGGAATTCCGTCTTTCTTCATGCCTGCTGGATGCTTCTTTTTCTCAAAGTGAACTAAACTTTAACGCTGACAATTTTTCGCCCTCATGAAGGGTATTGTATGACGTTAAATATATGCACTGTGGACCAAAATGGTGGGGAACGGAGAGTGTGAAAAATCGTGTTTTGAAAACGAAATTAGTCTTTTTGTCACTTATTTGGTGAAGGAATAAAAACCCAACAATAAGTAGAGTTCTTATTTGAATGCAACATTATGTCCGCTTTGACGGAGGCGGCTTGAAAGTTGAGCGCAAGTAAATGAACATTTTGCATTTTTTGTTGGACACATACATTATTAACCAGCCTGTACGAGACGAAGGTTAGACAAAACCAACCCGAAAAAAAATGCTGCAGATACATGGTACAATATTTTTCCGTTTCCAAGTTAAGAAATAGAACGATTGCGTGCATTTACATAACCGAATGAATGAGCAATAAATAGAACGAGACTAAGTGAAGATGAGAGGAGGCGTGAGAAAAATAAACATCTTGAAATGGAAATAATTAGTTAATGAGAGACGCTAGGTAGGTGATTAGTTTGTCCATAATGCATAATGTAAAATAAGTTATTCCTAGAAGGCCTCATCCCGTAGCTCTTTCTTAGATTTCGAATGAAAAGATCAATCAAAATAAATGAATAAGTAGTTTTTAATAGTTATCGATACTTAATTACTTAATTTATTATTATTAATTAAACAATAAACAATAATTAAAAATTATTTATTAATCAACAAATAAGAATGTATAAATAATTTATAAATAAATAATATTAATTATTTATTTACTTATGAATAAGCAAATTAGTATTAATTATTACTTGAACAACATTAAATTAACATGTTTTTTTAACAAATCTTCCTCCGTATACGGCGGTATTTGCCATCTTCAGCTAATGGAAACTTATTTCTCATAGTTGTTACCAACAGGTCACCATCCAACTTTCCTCTTAGTTTGAGGAACATACTCGCTTATTAGTCATGAAGAAACTGTTCTGTAGTACAGAATAAGCCGGATGTACGTCTAATCACTCACTCCGTCGAAAAAGTGAATAGGTCTCACGTGTAGATGCTTTCTGTTAGTGACAATCAAAATAGTTTGATGAGTCTGACTTAATTCTGCGATCACTAAGCACCGGCTTACCTATAATGCGTTATACAACCATTAATTAACTTCTACTACTGATAACTTAACTAAGTAGTGTATATTGCTCAGAGGCAAAATAAATTTCCTGGGAATAAAAATTCCTTAAAAAACGATATGATGTCAAGGCTGTCAGTTATACTTTAAAAGTCTGCTCGTCATTTTAAATAACAGATCATGGTCTTCAGAAAGTAGTTTTTCATCGTTTTCACAAATCGGTCATGCCGATAGGACGCACTTTGTCGGAACTACTTTGCTTTATTATTTATAGAAATTACCAGAATCGGACCGTAGATTTGATGTCCATGGTCAGATTCTATGAAATATCATACCTAGAAGAGTATAGGACTTCGGACGGGGTGCGCCCTAACAGACCACATTGATAACACGGCCAAGTTGCTAAAACTAGATCAAACTGCTTCTACAAAACCATGGTTTATTGTATAACACGACGAATGGAAACTGCTATTAAAATAGAGGACACAACATTTTGATCTTCATAGACCAGGATCGTTTAGCCTTTGATTCCACATAATTGCCTCAACCATCACAGTTATGGTTCGAATCTTGCTAAAGCTTTAATTGTCAAAATGAAGATGGTCCGCCATATGGAATGCGAATTAAACTTTAATTCGAGTCAGAAATCAAGAAGTTAATTCACTTTCTGGTGCAAAATTTAACTCTCAATTCAATAAGAAGCCCATGTTCATTATCAAAGCTAATATTAATGAACCTGTTACTTGTCTCAATATATCAGTAATATCGTGATCTACTTGTAATTACCGACTGTCCAACGACTACATCTTTAATACACTTGTGAGTTTATAGTGGATTCTGTTTCCCTGCGATTTTTATTCATTCGACTACTGTTTTATCGCAACTTATTTAGCCCATGTGAAAGTTAATCATATCTCATGAAAATTGCTTATGCTTACAAATTTGACACTCTAGTTGAGACTGGTTGATGACGAAATTGATGGCTGAATTTATGGGGATGATTTCATTTGGTACGAAAGTGAAAGATCAAGAGATTCTAAGGTTGTTTTCACAACCTAAGTAGTTCTTGTGGGATGCAAAAATATTCAGACCCGCTACTTTGTTCTGGTGTTGTTTGGATGGTTAAACTGAAACCTTTTGCTCTATGGCGAAATATGATCTACGTAAAGTCGAGCCGCATAAAAGTATAAATGCAAAATAAGTATTTTAAGAAATGAAAGAGAACGGGAAGCCGTAATAAGGGCAAATAATCTCCCGAAGGTCATAAAAACTGTGTAAAATTGTCTGGAGAAGTGTCTCGCTTTCAAAATCCAAAGAGTTTCCCTGATGGACCATTTCAAAACTCGATTTGCTCAATTGTTAGTATGATGCATAAATTAATGTATAGGCAGAACCGATTCATTCTTTTGCAAGCATTGGCGAGGAACTGTACTAAAATTCTAGTTGAGTGTTAACCTTGTCTTATTTTACGAAGCAATAAATCTGTCCTATTTTCAATTCTCGATGGAGTGCTTGTAGGCATTTTAGCGA